TCAGTCTTTTACAGAGGGAAACCCAGTTTTTCTGCACCATTTGTGAAAAAGACTATTCCTTCCCCCATTAAATTATTCTGGCATCTTTGAGATGAGATCACCCACAAAAATATCATTTGATGAGAGAGAGAGAAAGAGAAAGAGAGAGATAGAAGAAAATTGCCTGCCGTAGAGGCAGACTGGGGTGGGGGGTGGCTTGAAGGGGTGGGAGGGAAACTGGGGACACTGGTGCTGGGAAATTACACTGGTGAAGGGATGGGTGTTGGAACATTGTGTGACTGAAACGCAATCATGAAGAATTTTGTAATGCTCTATCTCACAGTGATTCAATAAAAAAAATTTAAAATAAATTAATAAATATCATTTGACTATACATTTATAGGCTTATTTCTGGATTCTCAAGTCTAATTGATTGATTTCTAAGATTACTTTTATGCCAATATTATAATGCATTAAGATACACTTTTGGAGTTATTAATTTTTTTTTTCATTTTTGTTTGGGGTCCATATCTGGCAGATCTCCAGGTTTACTCCAGACTCAGTGCTCAGGAATCTACTCCTGGGGCAACTTAGGAAAAAATACACGGTACTGGAGATTGAAACCAAGCTCGCCACTTGCAAGGCAAGCGCCTTACCTGCTGTAATATTTCTCTGACTCCTGAAGCCAATTTTATTTTATATTTTGGTGGGGGCAAACACCTGGCAGAGCTGAGGGCTGACTCCTGGTTCTACACTCAGGGAACACTCCTCGTGATGCCCAGGAGACCGCCCACGGTGCTGGCACTCGAACCCATGTTGGCCATGTGCAAGACCAGAGCTCCAGAGGCCAGCTGTGCTATCTCCTTGACCCCCGAAGCAAATTTTAAAGTGAAAATGTGAGACTTCAATCTTGTTCTTTATTTTTAAGCCTGTGTTTGGGGACAGAGAGAAAGCACAAGGGTTAAGGCTCTTGCCTTGTATGCAGCCAACTTTGGTTTGATCCCCATCACCCCCCCCCATCTGGTCCCAAGAACATTGCCTAGAGTGACCCTGAGCTCAGAGCCTGGAGTAAGCTCTGAACACTGCCGGGTGTGGCCCATAAATCTAGTAAACTGGGTGCTGGAGCTATAGTACAGCAGGGAGGGCGTTTGCTATGCACATGGCCGACCTGGGTTCGATCCCCAACATCCCATATGGTCCCCAGAGCACCGACAGGAGTAATTCCTGAGTACAAAGCGAGGAGTAAACCCTGTGCATCACCGGGTGTGACCCAAAAAGAAAAAAAAAATCTAATAAACAAAAATTGTGTTTATTCTGATCCCAATTTTAGACTTGGATTTTCTACTACCTTTTCAGTTTCTGACAAAAATAAGTTTAAATTCTGGTAAGAATTACATTAAATCAATAGACTACTTTAGGACATGCCATCTCAATATTAAGCTTCTCAGTTTGTTGATTATGAAGTACTTTCTATTAACACGAATTTTCTTTATTTTCTTTTTCAATGGCTGATAGCTTTTGTTTGGGATTTTTGGGTGGTGTTCAGGGGACCATCCGGGTTGTCGGGGATTAAATCAGACTGACCACCTGCCCTACCCACTGTACTACTTACTGCTCTCGGCCCCACAATGGTAGATAGTTTTCAATATAAATTTTGCATTCTTAAAATTTTTACCATGTACTTTAGTTGTTGATGCTATTATTAATGAAATTACTTAATAATTGTATCATTTTACTATCCATTGTAAGGGAAACAAAACATGATTTTTCTTCCCTCCAATGCCAGAGATCAGACCAAGAGTGTATCTACCACTATATACAATCTGTGTATGTAAGTTACATACACAGACTTAGGGGCTTTTTTCCCCGTATGCATCCTTGCTAAATTTATTAATTTATTTTATTTTTATTTTGTGGTGCCAGGTAAAGAATCCAAGAGCTCACACATGCATGGCAAGTGGTGTACCATGAAGCTACATTGCCAACTTTAAACTTACTATCTGTAGTAGTTTCTTGATTGATTTCTTGGGACTTTTTTTTTTTTTTTTTTGCTTTTTGGGTCACACCCGGCAATGCTCAGGGGTTACTCCTGGCTCACACACTCAGAAATTACTCCTGGCGGTGCTCAGGGAACCATATGGGATGCTGGGAATCGAACCCTAGTCAGCCTCATGCAAGGCAAATGTCCTACCCGCTGTGCTATCACTATAGCCCCATCTTGGGACTTTTTCTATACAAGTTATCTACAAATCAGTGCTGCTGTTGTTATTCTTTTGGTAATTTGCCTCAATTACAGTGGATTTCTAGAGAGGAAGCACACATTTCATTTCTTTTTTCTTCTTTTTTTGTTTTGGGTCACACCAATGGTGCTCAGGGCTTAGTTCTGACTCTGCACTCAGGCATTACTCCTAGTGGAGCTCAGGGGACCATATGGGATGCCAGGGATCAAACTCAGGTTGGCTACATGCTAGGCAATGCCCCACCTGCTACTGTATCTCTCCAGCTCCCATTTAAGGGTGTGGTGTAAAGTGATGACTGCTTCAGCAATTAGCATATAGAATAAATCACACACACACACACACACAAAATCTAAGAATAATCAGGAGACTGCTCTTAATTCATCAATTAGCAGGATCAAGAAATGGGATTAATCTTGTTCAGGACCCATTGGAATGAAACTGAAGCCTTTTGCCACGGATACTATCCAAGGAGTGGAAGTCACCCAGAAGAAAAGAAATGTAGCACCACAATAAGTTTTACGCTTCAAGCACGTCTCAACATCTCAAGGAACTGCCCCAAATTTTTAGCTTCATTATTTTAAAAAGAATGGTTCTATACAACTCCTGGATAAGGGGAGAGCATGGGGAAGGGTAACAATCCTACTGGTTGTAGGATACAAAACAGCATGGGTATACGCAACCTGGTTGTTTTTTTTTACATATGGTGTAGCCAATCAGAGACAAGAAATGGTGAAGGGAGGTGATACATGTACAAACACAGGTCACTGGGATGGGCAGCTGTGAGGACCAAGAAGGAGCAGCCTGAGCCTGAGATGGCAGAGAAGAGCAGGGCGGGGGCAATGAGAGAGACCAACATGGGCTGTAAAGTAAGGCGTCGCCCCATAAGAGAGCTGGGACACGGAACACATGGCGGGTGGGGGATGCTCATCTTACACACGGTCCACAAGAAGCAGGTTGGCTCCACTGCGACTGAAGTCACTCTTCCGTATAACAGAGGCAACGCCTTACTTATCAATAACAAAAGGAAAAGGAACCAGGAAGTGTATCGGAAGCAGCTAAGCCCGGGACCCCTCAGCAAGAAGCCACCCGCATTGCATCCCCACCAGCCCTTCTCGAGACAGACAGAGACTGGAGTTGGCAAACAGGAGTGGTGGGGCTTCCACACTGAAAGAGAATTTTCAAAAGCGGGCAGTTGGGGAAGAGAGAAGGGACCATTATGACAATGATGGCGTGAAGGAATCGCAGTGAATGGGAGATGTGTGCTGAAAATGGGCCTCTCAGTGTCTGTATCACAAGTGATAGTGCCCAAAGCGGGGGGGGGGGGGGGGCGGGGGGGGGCGGGGAGAGAGAGAGAGAGAGAGAGAGAAAAACAGACTGACAGAAGAGACAGAGAGAGACAGAGTCAGAGAGGGAGAGAGAAGAAAGGTGCCTACCATAGAGGCAGGCTGGAGGGGGCAGGGTAGCAGGAGGGATAACAGGGACATTGGTGGTGAGAAATGTACATTGGTGGAGAGATGGGTGCTGGAACACTGCATGACTAAAACCCGACCATGAAAGCTTTGTAACTATATCTCACAGAGATTCGGTAAAAATATATATATTTTTAAAAACAGAAAGAATTCTTGGGGCTGGAGCAATAGCACAGCGGGTAGGGTGTTTGTCTTGCACGCAGCCAACCTGGGTTCGATTCCCAGCATCCCATATGGTCCCCTGAGCACTGCCAGGGGTGATTCCTGAGTGCAGAGCCAGGAGTAACCTCTGTGCATCTCTGGGTGTGACCCAAAAAGCAAAAAGAAAGAATTCTAGAGACACAGCAGTGAATCCCAGAAGACAGCAGCTCGCCAGAGATCTCTCCGGACCCTGTACCAAGCTAATTCCACTGAGGCACCTCAGATGGAATGGGTGCGCCTTCTCCGCCCACTCCAGATGAAACCTCGATGGCCACAAGCTTCTAGAAGCAAAACTCAGGTACGTGGGCTCCAGGACTAAGATTCCAGGCCACATTGTGGGGCGGAGACTGGCGGTCCCTTCCCATCTCCCCACCCACTTGGGGGTCCTGGCTGTCACACCCACGATCTGTCTCTTGGGCACCATCTCAGCATATCAATGGTCTTGAACCAGAGACTCCCAAATGAATCTCAAAATGGATTAGCTCCCTACAGAGATGTCTCTGAACCCCAACCATTTACAATTTTAGAATCCAGAAGCACATGGCTGCAAAAGTGGTCACGCAACCTCTCATGATATCCATAATAGTAAATAAATTATCTAGCACCTGCCCCCAGCAGGCAGGCATGAATGGTGATAGGAAAATCTGAAATAATGGTGGTGGGAAGGTGTAATGGTGGGACTGGTGTTGAAATATTGAGTGTAATCAATTCACTGTATCACTGTTGTCCCGTTGTTCATCAGTTTACTCAAGCGGGCACCAGTAACGTCTCCATTCGTCCCAGCCATGGGATTTTAGCAGCCTCTCCTTACTCGTCTTTCCCGACGCTGCTGTATTGGAGGCTCTTTCCGGATCCAGGGAATGGGATCCGTTATTGTTACTCTTTTTGGCATATCGAATACGCCATGGGTAGCTTGCCAGGCTATTTGCTGTGTGGGCGGGATATTCTCGGTAGCTTGCCGGGCTCTCCGAGAGGTATGTTCACATTAATTGATTACACTCATACACATCATAAGAGTGTAATCAATTAATGTGAACAAACTTATGAAAATAAAATTAAAAGAGAGAGAGAGAATTCTCAGAATGGCGGGCAGGTTAAGGCGACAACTCACAGAGAAGGCCGGGCCGCTGCCGGAGGCTCGGACAGTGTGGACGCCATCATGCAGTTTGATGGAGAGTTCCCACTCGGTCACTTGCGGCTTCAGGATGGGCACCCTACGGGAGAAGGAGGAGGACAATCAGCACAACCCCTGGACCCTCTGGGGTGAGCTGACCACTGGTGACACGGCTATTTCAGATGCCCACAGAGGAGGTTCAACAGCAGTGACAACACAGACCCACGAACAAAACCCAACAGAGGAGGCCTGGAGAGTGCGTGTGCAGGAGGCCACAGGCTGTCCCTGAGCACCCCCAGGAGTAGCTCCAAGCCAAAACATGAAGGCAGAGCTAACCGCAGCTCTCCAGAGTGTCCCCTATGGCCCGTGGACCTGCCCAGCTGAGCTCCGGCAGCTCTTCAGGAATTAGCTCCCGATGCAATATGGATTTTGCTGCCACCGACAGACCACGGTTCCAGGCCTTTTTGCTGCCCGGCAATAGCACATCATTCCCCTCGTGATTTTCTTTCTTCGCTGTGTTGCTGTCACCATTACCATTGTCAGGAACATACCCACCCTCCCAGAGTTACCTTGGTCTCTTTCTTGGCTTCGCTGTTTCTACAGGGAAGAGCAGGCCACAGTGAAGCCCATCGTAACACACAGATCCTGGGTGGGATCAATATTACCAGCACCAGGAAGAATGGGCCGAGCAACTGGTCCAAGTATTCTGGGGAGTGGGGTTGGGATCTGGGACACATCTACCAGGACTCAGGGGACTAGGCAGTGTCGGGGATGGAATCGAGGTCAGTCATACGCAAAGGGACATTCTTTACCCCTGAACTACCTCTCCAGCCCTGACAGGCATTTGTATAACACAAATTATTCCTCAGAATGCTTTACATAACAGAAATTTAGTGGTCGCTGTACTTAGTAAGTACTTAGTAAGTACTTAGTAAGTACTTAGTAAGCTAAGTACTGCATGTTCGTGGAGCTTATAGTTGGGGGGAGGGGGTGGCATCTGCTAAACACGTGGCACCCAGACTCTGGCTTATATCACGGCTCCGAAAACAATACTGGTTTAAATCCTAAGCCCCCACCCTGCAAAGTACAAGAGGATTCTCTGCCGACTCCATTCATAAACATCGCAGTGTGCACATCCATAAAATCTGCAATTACGAGCGATTCATGTCTGGCCGTGATCTCTGACGGAGGATGAAAACACACACGTGTGTACCTGGGCCCACCAATCCGTCTCCTGAGAAGAAATGATTTAAATACTACAGAAGTGGAAAGTTAAAGATGCGAATGTGTCAACCAATGGCTAAGAAAGTGGAACTGACACCAGGCGTGCAGGGAGCACTCACTGATCACTGGGAGCCAGCTGGATCTTCCTGTGGGCCACAGTTCCAGGCTCAGGCAACTCGAAAGCATGCCCCCCCCTCCAGCACCTTGGTTTTCTACTTCACAGCTGGTGAAATGGTGACTTCCCTACCTACCTACCTACCTACCTACCACTTAAGTTCCTGAAATAGTATAATGCTGGGCCGGGGACAGAGGACAGGGGCTAGGTAAGGTGCTGGCACTGAACACAGCTGACCCCGATTCCAGCCAAGGATCCTCATGGTTCCCTGAGTACCACAGGGAGCGACTCCCTCCCCCAGCACAGACCCAGGAGTAGCCCCTGAGAGCTGCAGGGCGTGCCTCCCACCCGACACACACACAGAGAAAGAAGAAAGATCCCATTCTTGGCATCCAGTTTGATTTCTGATTCTTCTTTGATTGACAGCTGGCTGGCTGAGTTAGAGGCTGACGAGGGCCGGCCTTGAAAAGACGTCGCACAGGGAAGCACATCAGGCTAAGCTGCACAGGAGAACACAGCGCACACACACGGTGACGGCAGACCCGGGCTCCGGGGAACCGCTCGGCCAACCTCATGGCTTCAGAGCTTCCTTTCCTTGCACTCGGCACCTAACTGCACATTTGTAAGGACTTCCTGCCAGCAAACACCCCACTGGCTGCAGGCCCCAGGGCATCAGTGTTCGCTCGGCAATGGAGTGCTTTGTAACCTGGGTCTGGACGTTTCTGGGGACCTAAAGCTCCCATTCACTTAGCAGACTGGAGTCCAGTGTACAGAACAACACTGGGCTTGCTCTGGGTAGCCAGGGGCTTCCTGGCCTGGCCATCTTGGAGGTCTGGAAGGGCCCATGGCCAACAGTTAGGTCTCAGCTTCTTCATTCACCCCTGAAAACGCCAAGGGCCGCGACGGGAGTGGGCAGGGCTTGGGAGCATCAGCCTGGACTGTGCCCTGGGTTCCCGCCCCAGCACCACAAACAAGCAAGGCTGCCCGGGGAGTGAAACCCTGCAGATCTCGTTAAATAACGCTATACGTAGGGCCCGAGAGATCTAGGAAACTTCACGTGCAAGCGGTCAACCTAAGTTCAACCATGTGGTTCCCTGAGCCCGCCAGGAGTGACCCCTGAGCACAGAGCCAGGAATAAGCCATGAGCACCGCCACGTGGGATCCCCAAACCAAAAACAAAATAACCCTCATTCTCGCCCCCCCACTCGAGGCTGAAACTCTTGCCCTGTCCTCGTCTCCATCCCACCCCAGCACCTGTAAGGAAACATTCCTCCCCACTCTGCCTCTGAAACCACCCGACCATCCGAGAAGGCCATCACCGGCTCTTCTGCTGTCCCACCAGCGCCCCCAGGCTGCAGAAACCCCCCGGAACCCACTGCCCCACTCAAAGCCTAAGTCTAGCCTCCTACTCACTCCACCCAGACTGTGACAAGCCTCAGTTCCCAGAAAGGCCTGGAGGTGTTGGGCCGCCCCTGCTAGCCCAGTCCAGAATGTACTTCCCCAGCCATCCACTGGGTCCTTCTCGGTTCCATCTGGGTGGCACCCCGGGGTGGGGGTGGCGCCAAACACTGAGGTCTGTGTTGTCCCATTCACCTCCCAGCATCACCCCACAGTCCTTCAGTGCCAGAGACCCCCACAACGATGTATGCAGCAGAGGCATCAGTGACGAGGCAGGGTATGAGCCCAAGCCCAGAAGTATCCCCACCAAGCCTCCTGCAGGTCTCTCTGATGGTGACGGAGGGGACAAACCAGTGGCAGCAAGGAAGGAGGCCCCCTGTGCAGGTGAGACCTCAGGTCGGACTGTGAAATCGGCTTCCGAGGCCACATTCAGGCCAGACCAACCAAGAATCCCAACTCTATGGAGGTTCAGAATAGCCTGGCTTCAACTGCCTGAGAACAGATGACTGGTTAAAGAAACTTTGGTATATCTACACAATGGAATACTATGCAGCTGTTAGAAAAGATGAAACCATGAAATTTGCTTATAAGTGGATCAACATGGACAGTATCATGCTAAGTGAAATGAACCAGAAAGAGACAGACAGACAAAGAATGACTGCACCCATTTGTGGAATATAAAGTAATGTAATAGGAGAATAACACCTAAGGATAGTAGAGATAAAGGCCTGAAGGGTGGCCCCACAGCTTGGAAGCCAATCTCATGTGCTGGGTGATAAGACAGGTGGGAGGGAGAAGAGACCACTACGCAAATGATGGTTGGAAGGATCACTCAGGATGGTAGATGCGTACTGAAAGTAGGCTATGGACCAAACATGATGGTTGCTTAGTGCCTATGTTGCAAACCATAACAGCCAAAAGGAGAGAGTAAGAGGGAGTGTGCCTGCCACAGAAGCAGGGGATGGGAAGGGGTTGGGGGTGGCAGCAGAGATACTGGGAACATTGGTGGTGGAGAATGGGCACTGGTGGAGGAATGGGTATTCAAACATTATTTGATTGAAATGTAATCACGAACATTTGTAAGTCTGTAACTGTATCTCACGATGATTCATTAAAATTTAAAATTAAAAGAAAAAAGAATAGCTTGGCTTCGTTACAGAAAAATAAAATGGACAGGTCCGTGTGCCATAATCAATCCACTCTCGAAGTAGCCATAAACTCCAATGATAAAGAAAGGGAATAAATACACACCCTGGGGGCTGGAGCAATAGCACAGTGGGTAGGACGTTTGCCTTGCACGCGGCCGACCCGGGTTCGATTCCCAGCATCCTATATGGTCTCCCAAGCACCGCCAGCAGTGATTCCTGCGTGCAGAGCCAGGAGTAACCCCTCAGCATCACTGGGTGTGACCCCAAAAAGAAAAAAAAATACACACCTGCCTGAATGCAGAGAGGCTCGATGCCTGTAAAACCATGGAGTTAGCAATAATTACTTCAGAATGCTGACATCAAGCCCACGTGCACACACGTCTTTGTAAGGATAACAATAACCATAGTGGCATTTTAAACTTTACGGGGTTGGGGGGACCCTTTGCAAGGCATATGGAGTAGTCTCAAAAAAGAGTGCTAATGAGCCATTTTCTGAAGAGAAGAGAGAACCGGCTGGGACTTTCACGCCGTGAGGGACCGTGAAGAGACACGACCCACCGCCACAGCTGTCTGGCTGCCGTGCTTCCAGCGACCACAGCTTCAGGGGTGCGACTTAGTCACCTGGAACGCTGATCAAACCCCGGCCACAGCTTCCAAAACCAAACACCGCCACCACCCTCCCCCTGAAACAGTGGTCAAAAGGAATTCACATAAACAGGTATTCACAAAGGCGAGGCAAATAATAGCCCTCCCCCAGGCCTGTCCACTTGGATTATCATCAGCCAACCAGAATGCATCTGTTCAACAAAACTCCATTTTTCTACTTTTTATGGTTAAAAAGTGCCCTGCTACAAAGAGTAACACCAACACACTGAACTTTGATATTTTACTCAAAGGACAAGCACTACCCAAAGACAGGACCATGACGTGGCCCGTCTGAAGGCAGAGTCTGCACAAACGGAAGCTAATTAATTGCATCTCGAGTGATCAAGGATGATGAGTCGCCCGAAAGCTGGTCTTCCACTGTGCCCTTCCCTCCTCAGGAGGGAAATCGTGAGTTAAGACAATGTTAGTGGTCAAAGAATCATTAAGCAATCCTCCATCATAACTTTCACAGTGGGTGCTCTGGAAAATGATCAAGAATAATATGCCGCATTCCATGGCCACGGAGGGGTCAGCCTCTGCATACAAATCTTCGCAGGAAGAAAGAGGCCT